CAGTGCAGAACAAGGCATGCTGAATGAGTAAGGGAGAAAGATCTGGTGCTGGGTGAGCAACCCTAGAGATAGGTAGGAAGTTGTAGACAGAAAACTCCAAAGCTAGCTTATCATGGGAAAAACAATAGTGAGCAAGCAATGTTTTCTAATCTGTCCAGTCTATGTCCCTAGCAACTCTCAGCCACGGATGTCTGCAGGTTCCCAAAAACATGAGATCTCTGTTTGTGCCTTCTGAAATCCACCAGACTGGGGGATAATAATTACATGTTTATGGCCACCATCATACCCAGCACTTCCTGACCAAAATTTTTTTAAATAATTGCACCAATACAATTGCCAATTTCTTGATTGTCGAAGAGTATAAGGACACAGTTAGGAACACTAGAAACAAATTTAGAATTTTTTAAAATTCTCCTATAATATTAAAACAGAACCTTCGGCAAGTTCAAGCTGCTTTACAGATCATCGTACTGGGTACATGCGTGAGCGCACACTGAGTAGCAAGCAAAGCCCTACAAAACAAGGTCACAGAGCAGTACTCAAGGGCCTTTATGTCTTTAGTTGATATCATGAAATTAGCACTTTTTCTGAAGACTACTTGGGTAATATAAACAATTACAGATCAACAGATCACAGTAAATAAACACAAAATCAATGGGTAGTAAGGAAAGAAACCCATAGCCTTATTTGTTTAACTATCAGATCTTCTCTCTTTAAGCTTTTGTGTAAACACCAAAGACAATCAGACAGATGTAATATTTGTGGATACTAGAAATGGCTAAACGGGATGAGACATCTAAAAACATAATAATTTCATGGCTGGATTTAGTAGATTTGATTATTCTAATTTAAAAAATTGCACTTTAAAACTACTCAATAACCTGAAAGTGATGTTCCATCTGATCTTTGTAAACGGATTACTTGGGATTGATTTCTGTCTATATGAGGTTTTTGAAAATATTTAATTGATTGTTATAATGCTGTACAGTTTCTAATCCTATGTACCGTATATCATTTAGGATATAGAATAGGGATCACTGCTCATTTGACAATAGCTAACAGTAAACATGGGAGACCAGAAACATGCAAGATACCATTACTGACCTCTTTTTAATATGCAGATTTCAGGGCTTTCCTCCTCTTCCTGGCTTCACCATTTAGTGCACCACTGGCTTTGAAGATATATAGAGAATCAAAGTCCTCAGAATTCACTCCCGGCTGTCAGAAGCAGGCTGTCGGCCGGCCATTCGGCCAGCTTTGGCTTTCACCGCGGCTCAGTCTAGCTGAGGCATATGCCAACTTTGGGAGATGTACGGGCTATAGTGAATAGCCCGTACAGCAGCCCTTCGGTTCTACTGAACCGAAGGGGTCCTGGGGCCGAAGCTAGCCGAAGGATCAGCCGAAGCTATGGCTAGATCCTTCGGCAGCTTAGTGAATAGACCCCTATGTCTTATTTTGTATAATATAAGTAAATGTGGGAAATAAATTATTGCAACTTTGTAAGCAGAAAATCTCTGTCAGCTTGTCAAATGCCGTACTGCCTTTAGTTGAATGGTGGCCACTAATGTATTGTAAACTACATTTTGTCGTGCACATTAGTGCTCAGCTTGACATTTCCAGGCTGTGGTAAAAGAACTCATCTTCACTCAGATGTACTGTATGATTACATGTTTTGGGTATACTTATTTGTGCTGTTTATAGAATAATTATTTGACTAAACTCAGGACTGTATTAAGCATTGGGCACATTAGGCACACTTCTATAGGCAGCAGAGACAAATAGGTGACTTTTCCTTGTATAATTATTGGTCATGCATTTTTTTCCATCATTAGGAAGTAGGAATAAGCATCTCATATAAGGGTATTTACACATTATTATAAGCCAGGGTAGGACCTATAAAAGAGGTGAAGACAGTGCTGTTATTGAGAGTGTGTATCTTCAGACTACACATTTGAGTCATTGCAGTGTATTCAATCAGTTATACTGATTCTAAAGTGAAGTATACTATGTGATATAAAATGTGCCTAGTCACTAACATCCTGGTGCCCAGTCTCATACCTCCCAACGGTGCCTCATTTGGAACCAAGTCCCTCTTTCCTAATCGGCTGTCCCTACTTTTGGTCTGATGTTCAGATATCTATGAGAAGGTTCTATTTAACTATGAAAAGTGTTATTTTGCACTAAAACCTTTATGCTATCTTTTAATTATCTTGTTTGCTATTTGGGAAAGCCAGTATAAAGCAAAAGTAATGGTGAAAAAAAAACAATTCTGGGTTTAACCAATCATTTTTGGCATATACATTCCTAATGTTCCGCATAACTAGGGGTGTGACAGGGGTGTGTCCATTGCCTAAATACATTGTGTGGAAAGTGTCCATCTTTTTCATTCCAGAAAGTTGGGGGGCATGTAGTCTGCATACTTGGTACTTGTTGTGTGGTCCTTGGACCCCGGCAGCCTGTAGTATGTGAAGCAGCATTGATGTACTGTATATCTCAATGTCTTCTACAGCAGATTTCCAATCTCCATCCAAACCTGTATGTCCACAATTTCTGACCATCATTTTCTTTGACTGTCCTTTCTAGCCTAACATTTACCTAACGTTACGTGCTGCAATTTGGTGATGTCAGGGGCCACATCTGTGGCCCCCCTACCTTGTAAATTGACAACCACTGCACTCATATGACCACATTGGCTCATGAGTCTGTGCTACCTTTATAGCAGAATGATAAAATCTGATACATTGATCTACAATTATCTTAACAGTACACTTAATTGCTGTATTTTAAAGCAAGATAAACCAGATTTATGGTTTGAACCTGTTGACAAAAAATTTCAGGAATGTATTTGCTGTTTGACATTTTCAGCAATGATTTGCTCTGCTGCCATAACTGTTAAATTTAACTTTCCAAAAACTATTTGGTGTATGGCCAGCTTAAGAATAGTATTTCCCTGGCTGCCTCTGCTTTTAAGACCTTCTAAATCTTTGACCTGGAACCAGCATTACAATTTGAAAATCAGTATGTCAGTACCTCAACAATGATTGAAGTCACATGATTAGCATGACAGCCAAGCAATTATAATTTTCAAATAGATACGTCAGCAGTGGCAGCCTCCATTATTTTTGTACAGATTTTAGAAAAATCCTAACTTAGATTATTTCAGCTTTTAGATACTGCAAAGTAAACTGCTAAAAGTTGCTTATTAGAATTGACTTGGTAAGATTTCAAAAGTTATAATGTTTTTCACTTTTATTCAAGAAGTTGAATATTTGGTCTAAAGGTGATGCCTTGTGGCTGGGTTTCTAGAGTAGACACTGTGTAGAAATACTACTCATGCATTAAAATCTGATCGTTGTTTGCTGTGGCTGAGTTCAGGAAATGGATTAAGTTGGCAGATCTGTGCTGTGAGATATCACTCTTTAACTAGAAAGATTTTCTACATTTCAGTTAAAGAGAAACTGAACTCTGGAAGCTGTGCTCAAAAAAAGGCAGGCAGAGGGCAAAATACTAGTAACCAGTATTGCCCGTGGTCTCCTTGCAGAAGATCGTTACTCATGATTAACTAACTATTGTTCTGCACTGTGTCCCTGTATGGAGGCAGGCATTTTGGTAGAGGGAGGTTTTGCTTCCTTTTGCCAGAGCCTCCAAAAAGGAGAACAGTGAGCAGCACAGTAGCGACATCATCAAATCTTACTCCAGGTAGCCTAAGACTAGCAGTCAGATGCAGCAGTGTCTTAGATCGCACACTTCAAATGTACAGCTATGAGGCTGTAGATACTGGAGTGCTTAGGCATCCTCACACACCAGTAAGTGGACTAGTATTTTTCAGGAGGAATTTAAAATAAAATATATATTATTTAGGGTACTGCTTAGCCTGCTTTTGAGTTCAGGTCCACTTTAAAGTGGTACCCTTTTCTGAATCCAATTATTGATTTCTCTATCTATTATCTAATGATTGTGGAAATAACCTCAGTTTTGGCTTCATTTTATGATAATTATTAGTGCGGTTTCTTTTTGGTTGGGATAATAATAATAATAATAATAAGCAACAAGGTCCTATTTACATTTTGTCTGGGATGCAGCTTAATATAACTGGTAGGATGATAGTGTAACATAGGTATTATTATAAATCGAGCTAATCCACCTTCTCCATGCTTTTTTCCTAGAGGGCCAACTGTGTCACTCTTTGTTTGGAGGATAGATTTTTTTTTCAGCCCCCGTTACAAAGTAGCATAAAAACAGTTTGTCCAAATTAGGACTGTTATGATCCTCCATAATTGCATAATAATCACTTGCATTGTTACCCCAGATCTCTTTTTCTCGAGTATGTGTGACCGAATATTTCTGTATGTGGTTTTATTTCCTCTGTCATAGAACTGCCCTAAGCATCATCAGGTTTCATGTTGTGTTGTCAAAGAAAGGCACAGTGATGAAATACTATTTTACTAGCAATGAGCCTGGTGCATTTATCTTTGTATGGCAAATTGCAAATCCAGTCAGAACAAACAACTGTTTCTGGCAGACCCTGCTTGGAGGATATTGCTTCAGATTGTGTTGATACATGGGATTTACTTGCACAAATGATTCGGTATAATTTCATAGAAAATGTTAAGAGTCGATTAGAAGCAATTGTCTGAATGTCATCAAGTGGGTGAAACCTGATTCTAAAATTTTCATTGACAGATTAATCCAATCAAACAACTTTGAAAAAATAGTCCAATTTCAAATGCAAAGTATTGTGATTGGAGCTAGGTCTGTCAAAATCGTAACATTTAATTATTTAAATTATTTCTCATTCATACACTGCAAAGCTGTGCCAGTACAGTCATGTACTATGATATGTGAGAATTGGAATCAGAATAGGGCTTTTACATTTAGAAAATTAAATTCAAATTTTTTGAAAATTGATGAGTGTGTAACCAACATTAAAGTTTAAGTTGCATCCATGATTATACCTGTTGACTATGTGTTAGTAAAGCATGTGTTGTGTTTTGTTTCAGTTGGACCAAGCCAATTTTAAGGAAAGGTTACAGGCAGCGATTGGAATTGTCAGATATTTATCAAATTGCCACTGAAGATTCTGCCGATAATTTGTCTGAACGGCTTGAAAGGTAAAGGTATCTTTATGTGCCTTTAACAAGGTACACCAACCTACACATATGTATGCCACTAATTTCTCATTCAAGTGTCAGTCTTTTGGCAATAAGATATAAGCACAGGTAGCTAGATAACAGCTATGCAACAGAGAAAATAAGGGTTGGGGTTAATTTATTTATTTTTTTCCATCAAGATAAGCCAGTGCTGGAGGTATAAGGCTATGCTCTCATTGTTTTTTCCATACAGCTCAGTTATCATTCACCTTTGATGTAGGCATGGTTACAGAATATTTCCCTTTCCTTAGGTTTAGGGACCGGAGGAAGTAACAATGGACTTCAATTGCGTTTGAAGTCCATCGTTACTTCCTCCGGTCCCTAAACCTAAGGAAAGGGAAATATTCTGTAACCATGCCTACATCAAAGGTGAATGATAACTGAGCTGAATGGAAAAAACAATTGGATCGTGGCACAGACAGGAAAATATTATGTATCCTTCATTGAAGAGCACAACAAGACGGTGGATGGATGCCTCAGCCCTGAGAGCTTCTGTTTGAGCGGTTTCCGGCTGCTTATCATTTATATTTATTTATTAGAATTATTTTATACTTATATTTAATTAATTTTAGGGTTTATGACATTCAACACATTATATGTTGCGGGCGCTGCATAATTTGTAAGTTATTTGTTTTGACCCTACGGTCGATTTTGCTGCAGCCTTCAAACTAAATTGGCACACTAGCACTTATACACTTTTCTAGGTCCATCGCAGAATCACTTATATCTATATGCTCTCATTCTTGCTTGTGTATGTATAAACATACATATTTATGTAACGGTCATGGGGTAAACAAAATCTCAGGGTGATTGGAATATGTCTATATATCCAACTATCCAACAGGTACATTAGGGGAGATATAGTGACCATAGAGAGATACTTCATAGCTCCTATATGTTCATTGTGCATGTTTTACCACATATTCAGTTTTAGTTTTTGCCTATGGATGCAGTGTACGGCTGATTCCCCTTTGAACTCCATTCAAAATACAGAGAAAAGAATGTCACCATGGCTGATAGCATGTATCACTTTCCTAGGATAGAAGTATCCATATATAACTGAAATTTTACATCCTTTAGTGGCTGGATTCAAGGAACTTTAGTACGGTCAACTTGAAGAGTTGCTCTAAATCGTATCAAAACACATTTTATATTTACTTACAAGATAAAAAAAAATGTAATCACTTTAGGCAGCCTGACAACATATTCTTTTTTTTCTATGACACTACAATGAGAAATAATAACAATAAGAATGTAAGAAAAGTTCTGGTATCACTTTTTTTTCTGCAATGATAGATAACATGTTATTCCACCAACAAGTCATCTTTGTCTGCATTGTTACCAGTTAGAATAGTCTGCCTTTGTTTTCGTCTTGCAAGGGACTGGAAGAACTCCAAAAGCTTTATTTGCCTATTATTTCTGCGTTGGTCTTAAGAAGCTTGGAATTTTTTTTTTAAACATACAATGTGACCTTTACATGAATTAACTCCCTGCCATGAGATATATGGTCAGGTTTCTAAATCTGCCAAATATGTGAATGAACTGGTGGTGGACTTACATTTTAGCACCATGAAGAATGGATCCCACTGAGATACTAAAGCTCCAGTTTTATTAGCATCCTTACGTGCACTATCTGAGTTTCCCTGGAAATACCTGGGAATGAAGCAATATGCTCCAAGTGTAAACGCTACTGTTGATGGATAACTGTCTTGTTTTGTGTTTTCTTTCAGAGAATGGGACAGGGAACTGGCAACGTCAAAGACCAACCCCAAATTAATAAATGCACTGAAGCGATGCTTTTTCTGGAAATTTCTTTTTTACGGCATCTTATTATATCTTGGGGTAAACTAAATGTGTTTTATCTACTACAGTTTTTTAAATAATAAATATTATAAATACAAATTAGATTTTTTTTTTTCCACAGTTTTGCCAATAATAATGTGTACATAATTAGTGTAGCTAACAGAAAGTAATTCATAATAAATTATTTTATTTGTCCTGATTTATAGGGTATATCACATGTCTGGGATTTCAGTTTATTTTGGGAGTTATAGGTCACAAAATACAAGGAGTGAAATACAATTTTAGTGTTAAACAATTTTAGAATGTGGTAGGCTTGCCTGCTAACTTTAATAGTATCCTCGGCACGTTATTTTCTTTTTTTTTAAACTTTTTTTAACTTTTGTCCTTTTTCTAAAAAGGCCGAGTGAATAACCGACCCGAAGTGAAGTGAGCCGAACGCTGTTCAGCTATTCACTTCAGGCTTGTACGGCTGATTTCAGCCGTACACCGACTAAAATCAGCCGTACATCGGCTTGCTGCGGCTGGCTTCGGGTCTGCCAAACATGCTCAGCAGGTGCAGAAGGAGTTCAACATTTGGATCGGCTGAGCCGAACCTTCGGCAGGCTACTCGGTGCTGTTCGGCCTATTCTCATAGATGCTGAACAGCAGTGAGTGAATAGCCGAATGCCGCTGAGCGACATTCGGCTCGGCTATTCTGCTCGGTACCTTCTGTGGTACCGAGCAGAATAGAAAAACAGTTGAAAAAGTGAAAACATTATAAAACGATTAGGCGGAGCTAGCAGTGACAGCTAGCTCCGCCCAACTGTTTTCTATTGGCCGGGACCAGCTGTCATTACAATGAGAGCTTGTCGGAGCCGGCGGGGATATGAAAGCCGACTCTGCTAAGCTCTCATCCTAATGAAAGAACAGCGTCCGCTGGTCTCCTAAGCTCTCGTCGTAATGACAGATTGGCGTCCCTGGTTACCCATCTTATTAAGGGGCTGGGGGCTTCATGCAGGGTTCTGCTACCTCCTCCCTGGTCTATGTGCCCACCACTAGGGTGTCCACCATGATCCCCAGCCTGCCTTACCTCCAGAGCAGCGGCCATTCTCAGCATGGCAGTCCGGTGTCTGGACACAACATGTGGGCACAGGTTGGGGCAGAGGGCTCACCCTAAAACCCCGGGACCCCTCACCAGCCAGTGTATCCCCTCTTCGCCTTCTCCTCCAACCTCAGTTACACACCGAGAACCCGGCGAAGAACACCGAGAACCCATCTGTCATTACACACAGAACCCGGCGGAGCCGCAGTGATATCACTGCGGCTCCGCCGTGTGCTCAGTGTAATGACAAAACGGCGTCCCTGGTTACTTTGTAACCAGGGACGCTGATCTGTCTCTGCAAGTGGCCAGACCCAGCCGTGAGATGACTGCTGGCTCCGCCCAGCTGTCAGGAGCAGGGGGTCGGCCGGCCGTGCGGCAAGCTTCGAATTTCACCGGGGCTCCATCGAGCCGAAGCATATGCCTTCAGCTCGACTGAGCCCCTCAGCCAACTTCGGGAGCTGTACGGGCTATAGTGAATTGCCCGAACAGCAGCCCTTCGGTTCTACTGAACCGAAGGGGTCCTGGGGCCGAAGCTAGCCGAAGGATCAGCCAAAGCTATGGCTAGATCCTTCGGCAGCTTCGTGAATAGACCCCTATGTATTCTCCTCAGAGATACTATGTATCACCGGCTTCCAGCTCCACAACACAATGAGCTAAAAGCTTCTTCAGTGCCTGTAACAGCAGACTGATCACAGCGATCATCTATCGCAGTGATCAGTTTGCTGTGGCCACCTAAATTGCTTTTGAGGGTCTGTCTTGGACCCCGAGGGACCCAACAACATAATTAACTCAATGAGTGCTGGTCCATGCATGGACCCACGCTTATTGTGTCGCTTGACAGGATTATTCCGCCACTGGTTGTTAAGGAACTGAAAGACTGTGACAAAATAATCCTGTTATCGGTCGGAAAGGGGTTAATATTCCTATACATGTCTTGGATCAATATTTATTCACAAATTTTAGAGAGATTTATTAATATTGTGGCTTTGCATGATCTTATCTGGCTATTCTTAGTTCCCACTAGAACACTGAGTAATTATTTCATATTATATGTGCTCACAGACTCATGCAGTTATGACTGCAGGTGCTATACTTCCCTCAATGCACATAGTACAGTATGTTCACACTTGTTTCTTTTGCTGGAGGCGAGTGACATGACACCACATTAGAAGTGAGTGAGCAAGTTTCTGGCTGGACACCATCCAGCTCATTTTTGTAGCTAACAAAAGCTCTTGTAAATAAACTCACAACAGAGATCTGGTAAGTAACATACAAATTATGATGGCAAACACTGTCGGTGGGCTTTAACTGATCATGTCTTCTCCTAACTGGGCAATTTTTTTTTAGCTTTTGATAGTGTAGGAGAGGGTTTGCACCCATGTCAGTTTATTGCTGTGTCCCCAATCTGGAGATTAACTGTCACCACGACTGAAAGTTAGAGAAAGTCCAAAATGATTTGTTCTGACCAGAAAAGAAATAGAGGTGACATTTTGCAATGTGGACACTTTTGATGACAAAAGGCTAGATAAGTGTTATCCTTACTTTGGAGATATTTTCTCTGACCTTCTGTTGTGTCTACAGGAAAGGAAGTGAATGGAAATCTTACCAACATACAAATGGAAAAATAAACTGACAGTTTCAACCCTTCCTTACTTACTTACGCTAAAAAAAAAATAAAAAAAATATATGTTTATGTATAATGCCCCCCCCCCCCACAGCGTGAGTCGAGTAACATCCCTAAGTCAGTGCTGACTGTTGTCAAGTGTACTATGTGCTCTTTGACGAGGCAATGTCACCTCAACCCCTGTCACAAGAATAAATGCAGCTCACACTTACTGGAGTGCAAGATGCCTGCCCCCCCTGCACTCCAGGCTTCCTCCTATGAATCTAAATCAATGCAATGATGTAGGGGCTGGAAGAGGGAGCCCCAAAGTGAAGCAGGTAACCTTGCATCCTAAAACCCCTGGGTTTGTGGATGTTGAAGAGACTTCAGGTAGCGCTGTATCTGGAATACAAAGCAAAACAGTGGTATGGGCAAAATTACTAAAATACTTATTTTCTAGGAAATACGTTTTTTTATCTTTTGGCCAATTCTGAAGGAACCGGACGAAATTCGCCGCATTGGTGACCCTATTCCTTTGGCAGAAGTTGATCATTAGATCGACTATTGCAGAAGAAACATATTGGAAACAGCAGGGGATTCATCCATCCATGCTACTTTAGCCTGGATGGAGGAATCTATTATATTTTTTTAATTCAGTCCGCAGGTTGATGAATAAAATATACCTGTGTATACCCTACATTAGTTAAAGATGGGAGACTAAGCAGCACCCACTGGGAGGAACTTGAGTGGGGCTGAGAGGCCCAGTACACAATGGCGACAAAGAGCAGATCTGGCAACCGTTTAAGGAAAAAAACCTCATCCACATCTGAAAGGTGTATTTCAGTGTAGTGACACCTGAAGAGGTGCATACGAGTAATTACTTGATATTGTAATCTATATTTGGTGGGCCCTCCCAGCACGCCCATACCACACCCCTTACAGTATACATAGAAAACGAAAAAATTGGACTTTTAAGGTACTCGGTGCAACACCAGATCTCATAATTTGATCAAACGTAATATTTTATTCAATAGAAAAATTAAAATGTGGTAAAATACATATTATGTACACGACAGTTAAAAACAATCCCACTTCTTAAAGGTAAGTGGTTACATCTCCTGTAAACCATCACACAGATTTATTGTAAACACACAACATGAGTTATCTCAACTTGAGCAATGGCATTTCATAAGGAGTCCATGTGTGGAATGCTGTAGTGGGTGGGTGTTTCTCAATGCGTTTCACCTGGAAGGCTTCTTCAGGAGAATGGAGATGAGTTATTGCCCAAAACTGGACCTAATCATCATAGTAAATACATAGATATACATAAATTCATAACTATATGCATGTGACATTAACAAATAACATAACCGTTGAAAATGTAAATGTTGCTTACACTGCTTGAAGACGAGGAAAGGGATCAAAAAGGAGGAGGTGATGTCCCAAACCGGGGTTGGGGGACCACTGGAGGAAAGCAATCATCTAGGGCCTCCACTATCATCGTGCATTAGATCTGGTAGGATAAACACAATAATGCCATACAATATTGTGGGTAACCAACCTCTTGTTAAATACAAGCAAAACAAACAGAGGAAGGTTAAGTTTTTTTTGCTTGCCAATCAGCCAATCCCTGCAGGGATTTCCTCCTCCTCTCTCTCTCTTCCTCCAATGCTTATTGAGAGCCAGAGCCAACTGTCAATCAGGCAGTGGGGTGGATCCTGGCAATATTGTCAGAATCTTTCCCGACTACAGCGCGCCTCTGCGCTGTCAGCATATAGCAGGCTATATGCCCGCTATATTCTGTCTTTGGGTAACAGGAGTACATGTACTCCTGTGAACCAAAATGAGAACTAAAGCCAAAAAAGGTTTGCCTATAGTTCTTGTTTAAATGTGGTGGCTACATTAGATTTCTTTTTTAAGCTTTTTCTTCTTTATTTTCATCTGGTGATCCTGCCATTAACAAACTTCCTGTCTCAGGGTGGCTCCACTCAATGGAGGAGCAACAGAAAAACCCTTTGGCAGAAGCATTGTCACCCTCTGGAGAGGGACAGTGTTAGATGTGTTAGCAGATTTTGATGGACTTGACTAACAAGTCAAAGTTGAATAAAAGATAACTATTGCAAGTACCCCAATCATACTATCTTATTGGTTTGTCTCAACCTCTATTTGCCAACCTGTCTTTTTTCTGGACAGCTCGGTCTGTAAAAAGAAGGAGAAAAAGAACAGACTTTATAGCACCAGGATCACCTGGTGAAAATAAAGGAAAAGAAACTAATGCAGCCAACACATTAAAACATTGATAGGCTTCTATATATTAGATTTTTGTTTCTGGGGTTATTATAACAGGTTAGAAAAGTTGTTAAAAAACACCTGCTAGAATTTTTTTTTTCACTGTAGGGACATCTGAAAATTATTTCTCTATCTCCCAAAAATAAAAGTTGATACCTGTCTAGGTTTGGTAAGGAAATCCAATTCTTAAATTCTTAAGAAGCATGTGTCTGCTAAATGTCTGCAACTGATATCCTTGGTGCACCATAGTCTTACACTGCATGCCTAAACCAGCAGTATATAGGCTACTGGGGTTATTTAATTAGACAATACCAGGAGTAAGGCTGGGTTCACACATGGGCGTATGGAATATGCGCATCTGCCGCGCGTTTTTACCGCAATTTGCGGTAAAAGAAACGTGCGACAAATGCACGTTTCCGAGGGCTATCCGGCTGTATCCTAATGGATAAGCGCGGCAAATACGCCCCAAAGAAGCTCCTGTACTTCTTTGGCCGTAGGGCGTTTTACAGCGCGTTCCTATACACTGTAAAATGGCCAGGTGGGAACCATGCCCATAGGCAATTATTGGTTTTCACATGTTGAGCGTTTTACAGCACGTAGGAACGTGCTGTAAAACGCCCAGGTGTGAACCAGGCCTAAAGGTGAAAGGCAAAGTGCAGTAACCCATAGCTACCTTGCAGATGTATTTCATATTTAAAATATTTTTTATATCTTTTTAGGAAGTCACCAAAGCCGTTCAACCTCTTCTTCTTGGAAGAATTATAGCTTCTTATGACCAAAGTAACACTGTAGAGCGGTCCATTGCTTATTACTTGGCGATTGGCTTGTCCTTACTCTTTGCAGTCAGAATGCTCTTGCTACATCCGGCAATATTTGGGCTTCATCATATAGGGATGCAGATGAGGATAGCAATGTTCAGCTTAATTTACAAAAAGGTAAGAATGAAGTATATGTTTATTTAATGTCTGTATAAGTTCTGAATTCCATCATGTGGATTGAATTGATTGTGACATTTCTGTTGCCAACAGACCTTAAAATTGTCAAGCAAAGTTCTGGATAAAATAAGCACAGGGCAGCTTGTAAGTCTGCTCTCCAACAACCTGAATAAATTTGATGAGGTAAGAGTAAAATGTGTGTTGATGCATCTTTAACCTGAATCATGAGAAGTTAAATAGTATAGTTTCTGCCATACTTATCTCTGTATGTCACGGAATGCACCAGGTCATGGTAAATCTTTTCAGGTTTGTAATACATACTTGGTAATGTCCAACTGATCAGACCTATGTAAGATCTTCTGTTGCCTTGCATGCACATTCATAGTTAGGATATGTTTAGGCTGGAGGTGTTGTCGTGCACATTAGAAAATCCATTGTTTTCACTACAGCCCTATCACACCTATACGTTTTGTTGAGGAGTGCAGGAGAAACGTCCTGCACACAGCATCTCTAATATGTTAGGCTCCATTTTCCTATTAAAGTCAGTTGTAACAGGGTCTTCCCAAAGCAATTTGAATGTATCAAAAATGTATGTTATCACCCATTTAAAAGAGAACTATGGCCAAACCTTTTTTGGCTGCAGTTCTCTTTAGGGTCACAGGAGGACATTTACTAATGCCTTCCAGTGACCGAAAACTCAGCATGTAGTGGGCTATTGGCGGGATCCACCCTGCTACCTGATTGACATCTGGCGCTGCCTTGAGCCAGAACCAGCTGTGCCCACCCCCTCCCCTGTCTATCCCTCCAGTCAGCATTGGAGGAATAGAGAGAGGGGAGACTGGCAGTCACTGCTTTCTGCAGGGAGAAGATCATGAACTAAGCAATCAGTGGTTTGGGATCCCTCAGTTCTTGATCTATAGAGCCGACGTGACAACTGTAGTGTCACACGTCGGCTCTAACAATGGGGTTGAGTGTATTTCAATCATCCCATATTTCTCCTTTAATGTTAAAACACATCTATCTTGTGTGAACAAGATCTCAGTGTATGTTGAATAATTCCGCAATATTTTCTTTTGGTCTCAGTCTTATCCTGCTGAGGAATGGGGATAACAATCTGGTTGTATCCACTCCAAAGATGCACAGATTTTATAAAGAAAAAACTACACACCTTAAGGGTGCATTCACACTGGAATCAAAGTCAAAAACGCAAGTCAATGAAGGTACCTTGACATGAGTTTGCATAATGTGGCATTTATTTTACACTAAGCTATATAAGGTTTTGGTTCTGCCTTGCATTGGCATGCTCTAGCAGTTCACACCAGTCCATACTTTGCTTTGCGCTGAAAAAAAATGTAAAGCCTGTAAGTTTATGTCTCAGTACTACCCCAAGCATTAACTTTATTTTTAGTTTTGGATAGAATAAAGGGGGTTATAAACCCTGTCAACTTTTTTTGCTCCCCCATTGTGGAGAGTTTCCTTCATGTCCTATCCAATGTGAGAGGAAATCCCTCCAAAGAGAGGGAAATCCCTGATAGTCAGCAGGGTCACCAGATCAAGTGTTCCCATTGGTAAATTTCCTGTCTATTCCTGTTCTGGTGACCTAAAAAAAAAAGGTTGGCCCTTGCACTTTAAAATTTCCACAGGGAGCCCAATTTTGATGTGTTCTGACTGAAGCATTAAGATCTGAAGTGGACAATCTAGGACATCATAGCTGAACTGGAAAGTGAGTTGAATTGGAGAATTTTTCCAAATCAGCTATGTTGTCCTAGATTGTTCTCCTGCCTTCTCGAAACTCTTCACCATTTTGTGAATAACCCTGCTAATGTTTTGGGTTATCTTCATCAGAAGAAGTATATGGAAGTATGCATAGACACTTTGCTATAGGTATTTATCGAATAAACATTCACACCAACTGGCTGACTTGTTATGTGATTTTGGAATACAGAGGTTATCTGATGCAGTCATTCATACCAAACAGAAGGTCTAACTAAAGAACGGACTCGTCAAATATTGAATTATGAGATAAACACAGTAAATATCTATGGCTACATTAACAGAGGAACTGAAGTGCATATAAACTTTACCTATATTTGCTTTGTTTATCACTAGTGACTAGAGAGCGTCATTCAATCAGCAGTTGAAATCTTACGTCATTGTTCTCCTTGAGCTCTTACGTATACATACAGTGAATGTATGTGGGAAGTGCCATAAAAATGCCGACTAGAGAATATGATTAGCGTAGCTTGAACTATGAGCTAACACCAGTAAGTTTTGTGGGTGACTCTGATGATGAGCGCTGCATGCTATCTGTGTGTTTTATTTTATGGTTCACACTATTGCTAGCAATTAAAGCCCTGCTGATGTTTCAAAGCGGTTATACATGTGTTATTCTGTCTCTGATTGATTTATGAAGTCTTCCGAGTCAGTTACATTGTGTGTTATGTAAAGAATTGTGGGAATAGTTTGTTCTGCCTTTTACTTCATGATATGATGTGTACGCTGTCTGGGAGAAATTAACCCTGGAACCAACAGGATGTTGTGTCTGCCTGATTCCTGTGCTGTCTCCTTACTTCAAAGCCTTCACAAGATGTGTTTCAGAGTGAGCAGTAACATCTTTATGTCAAAACAAATTAACTGCATGAGGGGGGTAGCAAATATGACAGATACTTGTAGATGATAGTTCTAGAGAGTGGAAATAAGCTGAAGGCCATATTCAGCTTGATTATGTCAGGAAGTCCAGAAAAAGCTGTGATAGCATTGATTTAGAATCATGGCAGAGCTTAAATGAGTTGTAAAGTCCCAGCATATACTACTTTGCTATAACCTAAGCATTGTAATAGCAATACATACTATAGCTGTTTTTGATAATGCAATCAAAGCTTGAAAAAAAAACTTTATGTAGTGAGTGCTGCCTTCTGTCTGCCTATCACTTTCAACAACTTTCTGGATTTCCAATGTGCTTTGCATCTCTTTCCCTGCAGCTTGATGTGATGCAATTTCAATCTTTCCAGACTATATATCCCATCAAGCATTGCTTCCAGCAAGCAATGATAATGTTATATTGTTCAGACATTGAATTGTTGTTCAGAACATAGCCTCTGTATGAGTTGTTGCACAAGGAAGTGCATATTCACAGGGTTGAGTCAAATGAGGTCAGTGCATTGAGGAAGCACATCCTATGAGTAGCTTCAATAAGTAAGTTTACAAACATCCAGATCAATATGGTTATTAAAAGTGGAATGGAACTTATAGAAGTTCAATATACAAATACATATTTATTTTTGACTATAGATACCTTTTAAAGGGAATCAGTACTAAAAAAAAATACCAGGACTGTCATTTATTAACTCTTCTTTTGAAAATACGTATTTTCTGGTTGTCATGCTGCTTCAAAGGCTTCAGTACATTTGAGTTGGAACACGTATGCAGATCAGGAGTTATGACTTTTTTCTGACTACACTAGCTGTATGCATGTTCCAGGTCAGTTAATCAGAAAGTATTGAAGCCAGAGACAGCTAGGAGGACAGCATTTTTAAAAGAGGTTTAACAACTGTAGCCTCTGTATTTCTCTCAGTCATAAAATATAGTGTAGCTACATTTCACATTATAAGATAGTTACTATTATGCTGACCAGGCAGTAGCTACATTCCATCCTTTTTAACACTCTGTTCAGACAAAATTGAGGCATATTTGGAGAAAACATATGGGTTGTGTGACTATATAGTTTGCTTTAAAGGTGACTATGATCAGTGGATTTGTGAGGAGGGCTGAGATTTTCAGGACATGAACTCTGTTCCTGGATGTTTTTAAAACAGGTAAAAGAAACAACTTTGCGTGGATATACATGATAGGATACCAATGCATGACCCTTGCAGCAGTAATGAACATCATTGGTGATTATAAGAAGGTCTTACTATAACTATAAGAAGCAAACATTGGGCGTACCACTTGTGCATTATCTAGGTGATAGTTAAAATGATTAGATTAAGTAATCACACTCGTCTTCAGTAAGGAGGCCAGTGCTATTGTCTACAGCACCATGCAATTCCGTATCCTATGGCCAGGAAAGCCAAGGAATAACATCTGAAACAAACTATGGGGTCTATTCACTAAGCTGCCGTGGGCAGCCGAGTGAACAACCGACCCCAAGTGAAGTGAGCTGAACACTGTTCGGCTATTCACTTCACGTTTGTATGGCTGATTTCAGACGTACATTGGCTTGCTTTGCATGGCTTCGGGTCGGCCGAACATGCTCAAAGTGCAGAAGGAGTTCGACTCAGCCGATCCAACATCTGGATCGGCTGAGCCGAACCTCCGGCAGGCTACTCGCTGCTGTTCGGCCTATTTTTATAGATGCCGAGCAGCAGTGAGTGAATAGCCGAATGCCGCTGAGCGTCAATCGGCTCGGCTGTTCTGCTCGGTCCCTCGGAGGGACCGAGCAGAACAGAAAAATAGTTTAAAAAGTACAAAAAAAGTAAATAGAAAACGATTGTGCAGGGCTTCTACAGAGCCTCACCCATCCTTTGAAACTGCATACCCCAATCTGTCCACTTATCTCCTACTCTTTAGGCGATCCTTGTAAACTCATCTTTTCAAGGAAGCCTATGCCACCTCAACATAATAACTGTCCTTTCACTTCTTCCAGTAGCTAATCCCACACAATGATTACCTTTTTTGTATCACATACCCCTCCTACTAAATTGTAAGCTTTCACCAACAGGACCCTCCTAACACTCCTGTACTGAAATTGTTTTGTAACTGTACTGACTTCCTCCATTTTGTTAAGCGCTCTGCAAACTGTTGGCGCTATATAAATCCTGTATAACAATAATAGTAATAATTACTACAGTGACATGCACAACTGATGTCTATCATTGCACCCCTGGTCTTTGCTGATAATGGACTAGTGGTGTGCCCAATGTTTTTTTCTTATGTTTTTATTTGGTTCTCCGTACCAGTAAAATAAGAGATGCCATGATACTGCTACTTTTGAAACTACCCTGCTTGATTTGATGGGACTTGAACTTTACCTGAGATGGTAACTGACGAAGTGCATTAGCATACTTTGTTATATCCCACTATAGCTCACAATATCCCAGCATGTTGGAAAAAGCTCTGCAACTGATGAGACATATTTCCCTTTTTTACAACAATAAACATTGACTGGTTCACTTAAACAGGTTGCTGCAGGTGTAACGCATGCTGTAGATATAACGTAGGGTAGATCTGTCATAGCCAGTCATAACTGAAAAGATTCCAACATGTCTATGTAATGCTGGATTCTGTTGAAAAGCAGCAGGTTAACTGATCTGGCATTTGTGAATTCACTGTGATTTTCCTAAAGCTACAGTTTTTTGACGTTAGACTATTATATAGTGCATTGTTGTATAATATAGTTTATCCACCCTATATAAAATGATTCCATGTCCCATGTTCTGTAAGTATCTGTATTCTGTTTAATTCTGAATGTATTAGATGTGCACAGTAAAATCCTTCCGTACTGATTTCACATGTAATTGTAGAGTACATCTGTTTTCAATGTATTGTCCTGGCAATGTACAGTCCTGGTTTGCCTGAAATTGTAGCAAACTCTTATAAATGTATGGTGGAGCAGTGAGAGATTAGCTTTGTATTCAGCATATTCCCCTAATAAGCATAATCTATAAATAAACTGTTTAGGTTCTAATATTAAAATAGAAGACTATATTAAAATGAGAGAACATAATTTTTCTTATGGAATAGTCTATATACAAGAGCCAAATTGTGTCCAATAACATCACATTAACAAGAGTCACTACCAGTTGCAAGGTTGGTGCCTGTTAAAAAAATCCCATTCATCTTTACTGATGAAGCAGAAATGAATAGAGATTTGACACTCTTGAATGCTGCATCATAGGCAGTAATGGGATGTCCTCAATGTACTCTGAAGAGTGGATGTACATGTGGGGTAAAAAGAAGCCCATCATTATCTCTGGTTGCATAGTGCCAAACAACATAATTCCTCCATACATGGCTCCATAAGAGCAGCCTGTGCCTTGCCAACTGTAAAACAAACTGCACTAAGGATGTGGAATTTAGAAGGACATTACTGCTGTCTTAGTACAATTAGCAGCTACATTTCAGTTTGTTGTGAAATATAGATCTTATGTTGATACTGTTTTCACAGTATGAAGTCAAAACCTTGTAGCTAATCTCATGCATTCACAATCCCAATTCGCAATTTATGTTTGTGTTGAGTACATGAATTCCAAGCCACGGTAACAAAAGAACATTTTATAGCAACATTAGCATTCTGCCATCTCTGCCCTGGGTAATTATTTTATTAACCAATGTGGGCAAATTAGTCTTTTGATAACTTACCTATAACTGTTTAGCCACGTTTTGCATCCTAATTAATATCTAAATATTATAGATATGTGTACTGCAATTCTGTGTTGTATGCTTTTGTCTTGCACTCATTATTCTGTGTTTCTTTGTAGGGGTTGGCCCTGGCACATTTTGTATGGATTGCGCCACTTCAAGTAATACTTCTTATTGGTCTAATCTGGGACTTGTTGCAGGCTTCAGCCTTTTGTGGTCTGGGCTTCCTTGTTTTAATTGCATTATTTCAAGCATGGCTAGGTCGAAGGATGATGAAGTACAGGTACACCATTCAGTCTTCTTTCGTAATATTACAGTACTAAATGGAATTGTTCTCAGAAAGGTCAAGCTCATAGGAAAACAATTTATATTTCCCTGTTCTCTGTTTCTACCTTTCATGCTATATAGGGCTTGTTGCCTGTGATATGCTATCAGTGATTACACAATGAAAGCAGCATATTGAGCAAGATTATCACATTTGAATAAGAATTGGTTTATCTAGGAGGGAACAGCAAAATATTGTTACTGCCTTAAAATGTTACCTTACTTTAGTACATGGGTTACAAAGCGTATTCACTATGTGAAATAGCTACATTTCGGCTTTAAGATGGTGTTGTATTTTTACATGCTACTAGCAGGTGCATAGTAAGGTGCAACAGTGCTCCAGCTATGTCAGAAGAGCACTGCTGAATTTAGATTTTTGTCTGTGTTGGGAAAAAATGACTTGGTGTCCCCTCCCCCAAAGACTCTAGTCTGGGACACAGGCAAGTGTTTTGGTACCCTTTTGGCAAGGGAGCAGAAAGTATGCGGTCCCTCAGCATACTGATATTAGCCTGAATGCTATTCAGCATTGGAGTGGTGCTTTGAGAAGGGCATTCCTCCCAAACCCCCTATGCCCAATGCTTCCCATGTGGAAGGTTGTTGGGTTTCATATAAACCCTGCATGCTGGCACTCTCTATTGTGTAACTGAGACCGAAGAGCCTGGTGTCTGTCAACATCGGGTGAAGGGGATTTGGGAGTAGGCACACTTTTAAATGGCCCTATCCCTAAGTGCTGAAGAGAATGTAAGCTGGCTCTTTTTTAGATTAAAAAAAGGATAAAAAATTAAAACGCAAAAACACAAGATCAGCACTATGGACAGCTCATATAATTGCATTCTAACCAATAATTGTATGCCAATTAAATGTAAAATTGCCATGCAGTAGTATGCAATGTTTTTTGCATACACTGGTTGAAGAAAATTGCATGAGATGGTAAATCATGGGGAAATTGAGTACTCATAATGTTCACAAAATGTAGGCAGCTGGAACCAGCTAAGTTTGAAGGTGACATGTATGTTTTGTAATATGTTTAAATGTTTGCTAGGCCTATTACTTAAAATATTTTGGAAAACCATTGACTGATGCACCCTGAAATACGAAACTGATGCACCCTGTATTCTGCCAGCCCCGGGGGTTCAGTGCTGCTTAGTCCCGCTACCAGCTCCCCACTCTCCCTGGTGGTCCTGTGGGTTCCACTGCTATGCTTCCTTGGGGTTTTCTCTGCCCATAAAACATACCTCTCTTCCTGCCCCCTTCATGGCTGTCTTACAGCTTTGTTCTGCCCCCCCTGTGTATGGTTGGGAAGGGCTTAAGTTCCCTGCTGCTAATGTGGCTAATTACATTCCACATTCCTTTCCACTTTCTCTTGCAGGTCTGTCTGTCATCTGCAGGGAAACACTGTGGTAGCAATGACCTCCCATAAAGGCCACACAACCTTTTTATGACAACAAATGAATGAAAATACTTAATTCAGTTTATGTGTGCTTATCTTTGTTTGTCTGTCTTTCTATCTATCTGCTATCCAATTAAACATTTCTGTTTCTTGTAGGGATCGGAGGGCAGGGAAGATTAATGAGAGGCTTGTGATAACATCTGAAATTATTGACAACATACAATCCGTGAAAGCCTATTGCTGGGAGGATGCCATGGAGAAAATAATTGAAACATTAAGACAGTAAGTTCGATTCCCCTCAATTACATTTTATAGTGTACATCCATAAGTGCTCAAAATAAAATATAATCAAATGGTGCCAGCATTTGCATAGTATTATAACTAGTCACAGATGAGGACATTGCCTTTTCATGTGTAATGGTCAAATACCAGAAAACATTTTGCCCTGAGCTACACATAACAAGAGACTGGAATTATCCATACTCCGACAAGTGCACATATTCACATCTCTTCATTTGGGAGTCCTTCCAAAATGACAAAAATAAAAAAAATGGTAGTGTTCAGAATTTCTTGTTTAATTTCTCTCACAAGTTTAGATTGTTAAATCAAAACAATAAGGCCAATACAAACTAGTGATGTGGTAAATTAGAGCATTGCTTATTTGGGATGAATGGGCCATGTAGGGGTTACATAGGTAACTCCTCTAAATTTCAGAACTTAGAAGCAAACCTGTTACCAGATATGTGCTGCATTCGTACAAGTCTGGGAAGAAATGGAGCTTGAGAGAATACAGGCAGAACCTTGATCATTGGTATAGCATTGGTATAGCTGTTGGGAAGCACAGCAGGAGGCAGCCATTTTGTTCTTTTCTACTCACACGGTCTATAGACAGTATATGCATGTCTGTGGACTGAGCAGACATCCCCAGTTCTGGTATATCGTTTATATAATTTAGGGTAGTGATAGAGACTGTAAGCTTGTAAAAATTCTACATGACTGAACTTTCTCAATCCACGATGTTCCAGGGGTGTCTGCTCTAATCTAAAGGGGCCTATAGAGTTAATAATTTTTACCCAGTTCCTCTACAGTTGGTAATGTCCATCTTATGTTCATTACAAACAACACAGCCATAGACATTAAACATAACAGGAAAATATGTTGTATTTTAGCAAGCACAAATTTTGAATTAAAATTGCAGTGTTTCCTGAAAAATGTAAAGAATTGATTCTTGCAATACTTTGTGAATATCTCTGCCTTCCAGTGCTGCAGCCTCTGCCACGGTATTTTACATTTGACACTTCCAGGAGTGTCAAATATCTGCATTCCCGCAATGCACTAGGGTTCCTTCCCCTGACCCCTATGTAATTACAGGACTCAGCAATGACAGAGGGGCTGGTGGAGCATGGTTGGCAGGGGCTGGTGGGTTATGGTTTACAAATAGAATGTTGCCTAAAGAGTTTTGCATTTAAAAACACTTTAGACAAAACAAGAATAGTATAAGCATGTGCAAACATTCGCTATAAGTATGTTGCGACATACAGCACAGATAAAGATAAGCAATGATAATGAATACAATGATTGTAAATAACAAGGAAAAGAGGAAGCATGTTATACGTTGTACATAAATGAGATAATTTTAGTCAGAAACAATAGACATAGGACAGCAAATGACAGAAATGCATGTATGATTTCTGGTTAAACTGGGCTTTACATTGTAAATATATTTTATAACACATATACACATGGGGGTCTTCACGAAGCAGGCGAAGTTCCCGGCCGCCAAGGAGAGAAACACTGCTTTTTCTTTCTTTTTTTTATTGTGAAACGGAGCCGTGTCAGAATAGAAAAAAGAAAAAAAATATTTTGCCCATAGGAATGCATTGCTAGATTCCTATTGGCTATTTCAATTTGCAATAGCCAATAGCAAACTAGCATTGCACCCGCCCTCTGCTGCAGTTCTCCATCAGGTACACTACTACTGATTAACAGCCGCTCAGCGGCGTTCGGCTATTCACTCACTGCTGTTCGGCATCTATAAGAATAGACCGAACAGCAGCGTGTAGCCTGCCGGAGGTTCGGCTTCGCAGATCCAGATGTTGGATCGGCTAAGTCGAAATCCTTCTGCACTTTGGGTTGGCCAAACATGCTGAGGATGTTCGGCTGACCCGAAGCCACCCGATGTACGGCTGATTTCAGCCGATATACGGCTGAAATCAGCCGTACCAGCCTGAAGTGAATAGCCGAAGAGCGTTCGGCTCACTTTGCTTTAGGTTGGTCATTCACTCGGCTGCCTACGGCAGCTTAATGAATATACCCCATGGCTGTGTTAAGAAACCCATAGATTTAAAGTGTATTACCACTTTTGCAGCCAAACTGGGATAACATCTGTTTTATATTTGTTTCATGTTCTCGTTCACATAGCACATTGTAAAAAAAAAAAAATGCTGCATACATATTACAAACTCTTTGAAATAAAAGTTTTTTTTCTAAACTGAATTTTCCTCTGGAATGCAAAGGGGTGAGGATAATGTTTACCCTAAACTGATGCTGGGGAAGGGGGAGAGGGGATTTACAAACTCTTCTGCCAGTCTGTACTGTGCTGGCAGACCATATTATGATTTGTAAACTGGAGTTGAGCACTGTCTGTCCTAACAAAAGGTTAAAGATCTAGAAGCATTGTTTGTTAAAGAGAGGAAGCTCAGAGTGTTCCTAGTCTATGAGGACAGTCAGAGTTTTCTTTCACTTGAGGAAAGCTGCCATGTCCAATATCCAATGTCTGTGGCCATCTTAAGGTTACCTTTACATAACAATGCAAATGGATAGTTAGCATTCCGCAGTCTCTTCAAAAGTTTTGTTAAAGCTGCAAAGTAATACTCATAGGTCACAGCAAAATTGACGCATTTCAGCCCATAACCCAGATCTTAGTCGTAGGGTTACAGTTTGCAATACCTATGCATGTACAGTATATTGTTGCATGCTGTACCTCATGGGGTGGTTGCTTTACATCACTTCGTTTTCAATAATAATGTGATACATTTTAAAGTAATGAAATAATGAAAAAGAAATAAGAATTAGATTAAGTTTATAGTGGCAGTCTCAGATATCTTACAACATGATGTAAAATTGCTGCCACCAATTCAAAAAGTTGATTATTCTATCACTTTGCTTAACACCAATATAATGTGATACGGTAACAACTTCATCAACAGAATCTGGAGCAGTTTCCCATGGCAACCAATCAGCTTCCCTCTTCAGCCTGTTCAGTTAAAATTTGAAAATGAAAGAGAGAAACCGATTGGTTGTCCTTCACAGCTGCTCCGGATTTTATCAGCACCAGCTTTGATAAATTCCCCTCAATGTATTTTTTAGAAGTTGGCAAGCATGCTGATAATGTATGATGCCATATAAGTTAAAATAAAACTATAATTGTCTTGGATGATAGGCTGACTCTCTAACTTTAATACTTGAGTCCCTCACCTGGAACAGGTATGCAGATGAGGCAAATCAGAAGTCCTTATCATTGTACCTATCCTGGGCCAAAATATTGAAGCCATAGTGTTTCAAAGAAAATGGCAGCCTCTATGTTTCTTTCAGGAAAGGTCTCCTTTAACAATTGATTATGATTAGAATACTAATGCTGCCTTTTTGCTTCAGACAAGTGAAACTTATGCATATGTTATAAAGCTGTTGTGCAAAATATGCATGATTAACACTTAAAAAATTTCACACATTAAAAATATGCAGCCTACTAATTGTGAGAAATGACATGTAGTGACAGTGCATTTGATGGATGAATAATAAAACACACAGATCTGACGTATGGTGATGCAACTTAGGACTTATTCCTGCCCTTGTCGTCACACAGGACTGAACTGAAACTCACCCGGAAAGCAGCCTATGTGCGATACTTCAACAGCTCAGCTTTCTTCTTCTCAGGCTTCTTTGTTGTCTTCCTTTCAATACTTCCACATCTGCTTCAAGAAGGGATTACCATCCGTAAAATCTTTACCACCATTTCATTCAGCATAGTGCTGAGAATGACTGTTACACGTCAGTTCCCCTGGGCTGTACAGACTTGGTATGATTCACTGGGAGTCATCAATAAAATACAGGTACCAAAATATATTCCCTCGCATTCCATATTACTGTCTTGTGATGTGATGAATTCATAATCAGAGTACAAGCAGAAATTGCCAGCTCCAGCTATATGCAAGATTCAGGACCATCCAAAGTGATTACACAGTTTTCAGTGGAACTTGCCAGACTCAACACCTGGCCATACATATGAAAACTTGCTTGCAATTTCCTAACTTTTGATTGACTGGGGATCGAACATATGATCTAAAGTGGTTGCCTGAAAACAAACAATCTGCTATCCATGTGAATGATCAATCACCTGAATTCAATCAATTAAGGTTACTGAAAAATTGATCGAAACCAGAAAAAAACTACAATTTTGAGGAAAGCCATGAGAGTTTTCCAATGGGTTCAGTCAAGACATTTCTGATCCCATCTCCTTGCAGTTGATCAAAACAACTCATTTTCTATGTTTAGTCTCTTGGAAATCCAATTCCAGCTCAGTTAAAAATGCCAGAAAGTTGCCATGTATATGGACAACATATTGGGGTTCTGGCTGATGTGCAATCATTAGAAATCTTAGGAGGACCTATTGTCTCCATGTATTTCTTTGTTACTTAGGCTTTTTAATATACATGTATTTTATTTAGTACAGATTTTTTTTATAATTGCTTCAGCTATTCTAATCTGTCCCTAGCTGAGTTGGTGATTAAAGTAAACCTGTGACGACAAAGATATGTATATGACATTGATGGCTTTAATATTGCAGGCTTAATGAGCTTGGTACTTGCTCCTGGGCCATTATTCTGGGCCAATGACTTACTGGGTCATAAAATATGTATAAAGATGCACAACCTCCAAAAAATATCAGAAATGATGGCTCCCATAGCTCTATCATCACAGGTTTATATTAAAAAGTATGTTGGGAGAGAAAGGCAGGGGCTGCCATTGCTGGCGGAGTAAAAATCTGAAACAAAGAAACTGACATTAAAGCATTTCTCTACTTAACTTAAGCCAAAACTTTTTCGGATAGAATAAGGGAGGGTTATAATAATCCCTGCCAGATTTTTTGGCCATCTGTTTACCATTTGGGAGATCTTCCTTTCTGTCTGATAGGTACAACAGGAAATGAGAGGAAATCCTTCCAAAGAGAGGAAAATGCCTGGTGGTCAACAAGGCCACCAAAACTAGTGTCCCCATTGGAAAATGTCTTATCTATTCCTGTTCTGATGACAGCCTAACATTTGGGACTTTCTTTCATTTTTATTTTCAGTGATAATGGTCACCAGAACAAATCGAGAGGGTGAATCTCCCCAATGGTGATACATACAGTATTAACCCCTTCTGAGAGCAATAATTCTAGGGCCAGTATTTTGGGGTATCTCTAAATTGATGACCTGTGGGGGCTTTTAAAGCGTCTTATATGGACTTTTTGGGGGTACCGGGGTTTTTTGCCGTTTTACGGATGCACGCAATTTGTAATCTGGGCATGTTGGGTATCGTTTTACTCGTTGTAACCTCATCTTTTATATTTCATTTAAAAAAATGGGTATTTTGTTGTGTTTTGGGGCATTTAATTAAATTTTTCACTAAATATTGGGGTTTAATAAGGAGTTGCGCTAATATTGCGTAACATAAAAATTTGCAACTACCACCATTTTATTCTATAGGGTCTTGGCATTCAGAAAATATATAATGTTGGGGGGTTTTAAGTAATTTTCAGGCCTAAAATGTGGAATATAACATGGGTACAAAAAATGAAAAAAAGTCCTCAGTCATGAAGTGGTTAAAATCTGGCAGGTGTTCTAATCCTTCTCCACTCCACTGTCTAAAACATAAAAAAACTTTGGCTTCAGTTATACTTTAAAAATACATTTTTATTCCTGTCTTGGTCGGTATTCTGGTTACTGTACAATAAGTGGAGAATGTCTTTTCTTTCTGCAGTTCAGCTAAAAGTCACTTTTTGGAGAAGATTTCTGCTGCCATATAAAATTAGACATTTTTTGTCAGTTCGAATCATCACATCTAATGTTGTTGTTAATGTTGTATTAAATAATGTTATTGCATTACAGACATTTTGAAATCTTTCACAGGATTTCTTGCAAAAAGATGAATACAAGTCCCTTGAGTACAACCTGACAACCACAGAAGTGGCAGTGGAGAATGTTACAGCTTTGTGGGATGAGGTCAGCATACATTAGAACTGTGATTGGTCACTACTTTTGAACATAAAAACAAGACTGAATAAAAAGAGCTGTGCTGATGATAAATATGTCATAATGATCATTGAGGGGGCCTTATAGAGTGTAACTAGACTGGTATGTTATTTTGTGGGCTGCTTTTGTTGTGGCTTCATTGTGCATCAATGTTCTCTATATGACTGTTATCCAGAAGAAGAGGAAGAACACTTCCCACATTCTTTACAGGGATATAAAAGAGGACACATTGACAACGATTTTTTAGACTTTTAAATAAAGGTGGTCATGCTCAAGATGAGATTGTGGCAAACCTTTTCTGCTCAACAGTCTAAAGATCTCATGAATACAGAGCAGGCATACTTTTATCAGGAGATCACATGAGGCTGACACCAACACTGCAATGGAGAAGGCATGTCAGAAAAAAATGTTTCTATTCATCTCTAGTGATAAAACAGATATGAATGGAGATACCCTGGAACTTCCAGATGCCATATCAAAGATGGTGCTATCCAAGGGGGCAGATTTTATGTATCACCAGTTTAAATTAGGAAAATAATTGTAATACTAATAATTTCAGATTCTGATTAATCACTTTATAGAATCTTTCAGTGTTCATACCACATTTATCATGCAGCACATGGGGATCAATTCACAAACCTTACACATCAGTATAAGTATACTTATTTTCAAAAAAAGTGACAGTTATTGTCAGCAAAGTCCAATTTTCCAAGATTTAAAATTGACAGTCACATTGCTAAAACAAATCTCATTATCCTTGTGTTAAAGCATATTATGCTGTCTCCAACACTTTGTTTCTTCCTGACTTCCTGTTCTGCTGCCAGATTCTAGAAGAACATACATATTCCACATATACAAAATGTTTCTTAAATTTCTTATTTTCATGTAACGTAATCACATTTTATATTATTTATATATAGTTTTTCTTGTGCCCATATAGGGGTTTGGAGAAGTTTTCGGGAAAGCAATGCTTGAAAATGGAGGTGATTCTTCTAAGGATGACCCAAATCTGATCTTTAGTAACTTCACATTGCATGTTACACCAGTACTTTCTAACATCAATTTCAGTCTAGGAAAGGGAGAGTTACTAGCAGTTGCTGGGTCCAATAAAAAAGGTATCATTGCACACTGCAATACTGCATTTTTGTCTTTTTTGACATCTTATATATATTGACTGCAGTTGTAGTCAGTAGTGACAAGGCTGGGCTTGGTGAAATCCTACTTTGCCTAAATTCACCCAAGCCCTCTCAAAACTCTGACCACAACCCCCTTCTCCCAACACAATCATTTGCGGGGAGGCACATTCCCCACCCTCAGCTATACCTCACAAAAAGGTAAAGGGTGATAAATGCCCCAACTGCAACTTCGGATTGGGTTAGAGGGAGTGGTGGTCAGAGTTTTGAGGGGCTTTTAAGTGTACTCAGGTGAACTATTTACACCAAGCCCAGCCTCATCTCTAGTCTTCAGTTTTAAAAGAAAGTGGTAATTAAGTAAGCAAATGCTTCAATTGAGTTTGCATTTCTATTGAACTTACAATCATTATGTTTCTTCCTGTATTGCTTCATAAGGTAATTTATTTTATAATTGTAAACATGTTTTTCGTTTTGGCCAAGTTGCTGTAATTTGCTGTATTAAGTAGCCCCATCAGAGGCCTAAGCCTGGCATTTTTACCACTGCAATTAATGATTGCATTCACTCCTTTCAAATTGGGTGAAGTAATATATGATGCTATTTCCCACTCACTGCACAAATATAGTAGTATGAATAAACCCAATCACCCTGGCCACAAGAAAATATAAACTTCACTAAGTGTCATCATATTGCAAGCTCATACATTGACATTTACACAGCTGAATTACATTATACTACAGACCCGTGCTCTAATAAGTATTTGAAACGGATGATTTCCTAAAGTTTGAAAGATTGCTGCTAGTGGAAAACAATAAAAGATCTATTTTTACCAAAGATACTAAGTTTGAAAAAAACTTAAGGTAAATCCTGGTCGTATCTTGCCAGAAAAGACGGGCTGACAGTTGGCAGTTGTAGTAATATTCAGTAAAATCAGCAAATCTGTAATAAATTCCCCCGACATTCTTAAAATGTTGCAGCCTTTCTATTTTTAGTCTGTTTAGTAGTCATTCCTACAATCTTGTGGGAATTCCCTCTGGATCTTCTAGATACAAAGGACTCTGAAACTTTGACAGTTGTATAAGCTTATCTTTGAGCGAAAAAACAGGGACTTAGGGCATGTATTATCAGTTCTTTTAACAAAAGACAGCATTTCTGGCTGTGATGTATGGGGCAACAGTTGTTGCTATCCCCACACCCAAATAAAGACTCCTATATTATATACTGAGTGGCCAGATTATTATGACCACCCCATCAGTACTTCGTTTGGCCACGAGATAACTCCACAAGATGATTTCGTTGGGCCGCCTCGTGACTCCACAAGATGTTAAAAGGTGATGCGAGGAATCTGACACTGCACTGTTGCCCTTCTGTTGTCTTGTACCAGTCTTGCCACTCTCCGTTCTGCCCTAACATTGACGCTGATGGCCACAATTCGCACGTTCAGACCCAGATTTGCGGCTGACAGTCCAGTCATTAAACACTTTAACAACAGCTGCTCTTGAACATTTAACGAATTCTGCTGTTTTGCTGATACTCGCTCCATGGCTCCGAGCGCCAACAATCATCCCACGTTCAATCGCGTTGTTTACCCATATCTTCAGAAAAAAATCACTTCTACTGTCGTAGTAAACAACCTGCTTTCCTATTTATAATGGTCTGGCCCTCTAGCAACTTCAGCGCGAAATTATAGCTAATTTGCTTACAAACGTCAGGTGGTCATAATAAACTGGACATACATTGCAGATCCATATCTTAACATTTTACCAAAATACTTGTAATTAGGTACTGTGTCCTTGTGAATAAAAGGTCCTTAGGGCGTTGATTGTGTGCCATCAAAACCATATATATAAGTATCCAAAAATGCTATATAAATCTGAAAACAACACATAGGTCTCGTTTTATTTATTAACCCAAGATTCACACATTTATCTAATTGGATTAAAATGTGTAAATTCTGGGTGAAAGTTGTGTGAATCTTGTGTGAGAAAATATTTATCAATACACCCAGAAAGTATAGCCAATGGAATAATTGTATCTGTAGACATAGAAAATATAAAAAAATATATCTTCTTTCTGCAAGCAGACTCCAGGGGCTAAAATTAGGAACTAGAGGCCTGTGTTGACAGGCTTGTGTTAGCTTCAAATGGTTTTTGCATACCTGTACAAGTATATGGGAATGCAAAACTCACTTGAATCAGGTCAAATGCAGATCAGGAGGAAGTCAACTGCAGGTCAAATGCACCTATCAATGAATTCTGAATTATCTCAGAAGTATCTCATACTGATGTCAAACTGATGCCATCGACACACAACCCTTACAATGTCTTAGTTATCATATACCAAGTTAAACTTGCCACAAATTATTTTCTTTCTAGCAAAGTAGAAATAGATCAGCCTTACTCAGCTAGGCTTCCTCTATAAGATGCTAGGGTTTCCTTGAGCAATTAGCAATTTCTGCCTCTCACAGAAGTAACCACTGACACCAATGATATTCATATCTATCTGTCAGGGGGGATTCTTGGAATGGACACAAATGTAAGCATTCTTCAAAAAGACCATCACTCTGTCATGAGCTATAGATATAGTAATTATTAGCAGGGGTTCCTGGGACTAGAAAGTTATGTTAAGGGTTCCTCTGTGTTAAAAGGTTTGAGAAAAGCTGCTACACTTGGTTGATTCTGGGCCCTCTGTGGTATATACAGCTGCCCGATTGCTTGTACCGAAATGTGTGCCCCCCGTCCGCCTGCGGCACCAGATATATCGGGCTCCGCTGCCCCCTGTGCTGGCAAGGGACCAGCACGGTGGGGCTGCCCTCATCAATCGGACAGAGATCAGCAAGCTTCTAGCCACTGATCTCTCCCCCGATCCCTAGACCCAGAAGTCATGTGTATTACATCACTTCCGGTGTCACAGTGTACTTTCACTGACTCCTGTAACCAGGAGAAGCGGGTGAAGCAGATTGCTGCCTCATCAGCTTCTTTGGGGTCCCTAGGTGACATTAGGGGTATGACAGACCCCTGATGTCTCCAAAAAGAGGACCTGTCACATCCTATTTGTTATTACATGGGGGCCTGTTAGCCTGTTAGTGTAAAAAAAAAAATTTAAATCACATATACATTTTTTTTTTAAATAATCAAGAAAACGGACACGCACATACAAACGCAAAAATGAAAATTGTGCCACACATGATACATATCGCTGTGAATGTCGGAGTGAGAGCAATAATTCTAGGGTCATCAATGACTGTTAACACTAAACTGATGAGCAGTAAAAGCTTTTAAAGCATTGCCTATGGGAAATTTGGGGTATTGTCTTTTTTTGCAGTTTCATGGGTGCACACAATTTAAAGGCTTGACATGTTTGGTATCTATTTACCCGACGTGACCCGTCTTTTATATTTTACCAAAAATTGGGTATTATATTCTATTTCTAAGCACTAATTTAATTTTGGTGTATTTTATTTTAAAAATACGGGTTTAATAAACATTTGCGCAAATACCGTGCTACATAAAAAATTGCAACTCACATTTTTTTAATTCTACAGGGCCTCTGCTTTCAGAAAATATATAATTGTTTGTGGGTTTTAAGCTGTTTTTTTGCCACAAATTCTGATTTTATCGTGTGTGTGCAAATATTAAGAAATTGCTCCAGGCAACAAGTGGTTGATTGTCTAAAATCTGTTATTATGCCTGTATATAGAACAACATACCAGAGACGGAGGAGTAATTCTTGCTTTTTTGCTGCCTATGGAAAATTCTCAAAAAGTTACCCTTCTCCCCCCACCCTTAAAAAAGGCATCTTGTTCCCATGTGAACCTATAGTAAAAAAAAAAAATGAGCATTGACAAAATTTCTGCTTTATGCAGAGCAGAGAGCAACTGGTGAAAGTTTTTAAAAGCTCTGAATAAAAGATGGGTATAATTATTGCATATATACTAATTCAACCAGGCGGCACAGGGAAATAGTAAACGTTAACTTCATTGCATCCACCATAACCTATTTAGTATACATTGTATAATGCACCACTTGAAGTGTATGTAAATCCTAACAATAAACTTCACTGATATGCATTCCTTTCCATCTAAATTCTGTTTAAGTATACAATTGAAAGTGTTCTATTATATCTGTTTGATAAGTTTAAAGAAAATATCTGTCGATCATGGCAGAAATTTAGACCTCGCCTGTGTCCAGTGCTCACTTCCTGTGTTGCCTCAAGTAGAGTAATTAGCCATCCCAGTCATTATCTTGGAACTAAAGAATGATTGGCCTTTATGTTGTGGAGATGGGATAGTAGGTGGGTCTGAGTAGTTTGGCAGGAGAAAACTGGGCAGGGCTTACATTTGGGTTTTGTCAGGCTACAGCAGGACCCAGGAGTACATTTTTGACAGATTAACAGGTATTTTTCTGCACTTGCAGGAGAACTATGGGGCAACCTTTTTTACCCATAGTTCTTCTCAGGGTCACTGGAGGACATATACCCTGTCCTCCGGTGACCCACAACTCAGTTTATAGCACCCTAGGCTAGCGCTTGTCTGCACTGTTATTGTGTAAAACAGTTGACGAGCAAGGCAAAAGGCATTAGCTTTGAGATGTTTCTGTTCACTTAACTGCATCGATTTCTGCACTGCTTTTGGAGTTATTTTAATAATACATCTTTATCTACAAAATTCCAATGGGGTCCACAAGAAAAACGTGGACATTTGATGCATGTTTTGTGGTGTTGAGTCCAGGAATCCAGAATCCTTTAGAAGCTTTAGAAGTAATACTGCTGCAGCATTTGTCCGCTTATTTTATAACAACACACATACTAAACCTAGCTGCAAGCAGAATTGACCTTTCAGGTGGCTGGGCTTTTATGGCCTGTTAAGGAAAAAAATAAAACAAAGTGGTTTAATGTCTGTGAAGGTTCTGATTTATTCAGGTCATGGAGTGTATTGAAGTACTTAGTCACATACAACTGAACGTGCTATTTAATGTTTTGTAGCTTA